TTGCAGCATGGCGCCAGTTGTCCAAAATCCTACGGTACCAAAGGAGGGGTTTGGAAAAAGGGTGCCAGGCCGAAAACGGGATGCAGCCGAAACAGTAAAAAGATAGACCAGGGATCAAGCCCTGGCGGAGTCTGTAACAGAGTCTGTGAGAGAAGAGGATAAACAGAGTAGAGCCCAGGGTGTTGGGGGGGAGGGGCCAGGGAAGGGAAAGGAGGGGGTAGCAGGAGGAGGGGGGAGAGGAGAAGAAGAGTAGTAGCAATGGTAGGTGTTAAGATTATTTAAAATCTCAAGTATTTAAACTGTATTTTACTATTTTGCATCTTTCATCACACTTGCACACTTAATCGTGATGAAATCACACTTGGTTGGAAGCATTCGGAAAATCAAAAGTGAACACACACACACACTTGCATATCTCATATAAAACTCACTTTTTTTTTCTTTTTCTTTTTTTTTTTATCAAGCAATGGCTCGGGCTGCTATTGGGGGTGAGATATGAGCATCCCTCAACGGCACCTTCTGCCATTCGCTCCTGTCTATTGGTGGGGAGCATCACCCTTAATACAAGGCGAGAAATTTGTCTGTCCACGGGGGCCCGCACAGCTTCCCTGAGCACACAACACTGATCAGGACAGAAATGATGAGGTAGTCTGCCAGACTGCCTGCTATGGCTGTGCCCACTCTCCCTAGTATCAGCCCTGAAATGCCGAATGAAAAATTGTAACTGCGTACTGACTGGCCTAGCTCAGTCGGTACACCCCCCAACTGTTGAAATACAGACCCGACTCACCAGAGTTCAAACTCTGCTGGAAGCAGATGAGTGAAAATATTACAATTCTGAATTACCTAGGGCCAGTCAGTTCGATGATGATACCGTAAGGCCATTGCCCTTTCAAAAACAAAAAAGGGAAAAAAAGAACGAAAAAAAGAAGGGAATATTGTAACTACTGCTTCCCAACTCGTCACTTTCGACTATCTGGTTCCCAGCCTATGCCTACCGGATCTGTCCATTGGGAAGACCTAGAACTACTGGTCTGGAAAAAAAGACAAAAAAGAAAATACTACAGGTCGGAAGGGCCTACCCTAAAACTACTGGTCAATACAGATCCTACACAGAGGTCCTAGGTTCAAAACTCACAAGCCTTAAGCACAGAAAAATGAAAGTGGTTAGTACCTCGTACGAGGTTCCCGGTTCAAGCGCTGACAAGAGCAAAAACAGCGCGGCAACAACGGAAACAAAAAAGGGGGAAGAATAGATGGAAAAAAGCATGGGTAGAAGAGCAGTAGCAAGAACATGTGGAGGAGACCGAGGGGTGTTTGCAGTGGTGATGTGCTTGCCAACTCCATGGCCATGACACACAGAGATGTACGCTACTAGAAGATGGGAAAACAGAGGAGGAAGAGGAGGGGGGGGAGGACGACACTATTCTGATGTAGAGATGCAAGGTCGCGGTAAAATGACCATCTTGTGCAGGTGATCTTCTTTTTCGTCCTATTTGGGAAAAGGTACCTTCCTCGTCCTTCCCGACATCCGTTAAAATTGGAACGATACAGAGAAGTTTAGCATGGCTCCTGCGCAAGGATGACACACATAAATTGAGAAATGGTCCTTTTTTTTTTCTTTAAGGAAAAGGTACCTTCCATGGAGGTGAAACTGGATGGCCATGAGCTGACGGAGGCAGAACATAACTGAATGATCATTCCATGCACAAGAGTACACAGGTTGAAGCAGCTAAGGGAGTGAAGGACGACAGAGAGAAAGAAGGGGGAGGAGGGCAAAGCTACCGGAGTGTCCATCACGGTGATGTCGACACAGTCGCATGGCTATGACTGTGAAATATAAAATGCATTCAACGACGGAGAGAGAGGAGGAGGAGGAGGAGGAGGAGGAGGAGGAGGAGGCCATTGTGATGTTATCATCACAGTCGAATGACCGTCTATAGAAGCGGAATTTCAAGGCATACAACGTTAATGAAACAGATCTGAAAGAGCTTTGAAAAAAGAAAAAACACTTACCTTCTGAACCCGCCCCCAACTGAGGCCACCTGACCGGTCGACCAGCTGGCTGGTCGGGAGCCGACCAGTGGGGAGCCAACGACTGTCCGCCATGAAACTCCGATCTCGAGACGATATGGTAAAGGCGTCGTCAAATGGGCTCTAACTTCTAAGGCCTCAGATATCAGAATAGCATCACCAACAGTCTTGACGACATCAGCTCATCAACTACAGTTTATAGGAGATGAAAATCATCTGTAACTGTAATTCCATGGATTCTGCAGTGAACAACAGCACAAAACCAGATAAAAACGAGCCATAACTGAACTCAAACACTGACAGCCTAGTAAGATGAGGAGTTTTGACTGAATCTGGTCAAACCTATGGCTAGTGACAGGCAGGAAAGCCATAGTGGAAGTCTTCCAGAAGGAATGAATCACAATTAATCACTAAGACGAGTTTGCAAGGAACGTGCAACAGCTTTTACCAACTTATCATGCACCCGACTCGAGGGTCAACATGAGGCTACGACGGGAGGTCCAAATACCACTACAACTGGGGGGGGAAGGGGAGAAGGGAGGTGTCTCAAATCGTTTCATGCCGCAGTTCATGTCACGGTTATTGAAGAGGGAGCATCAAGATTCGAAACATTCATCGTTTCGAAAAGGCGAAAGAAATGATGGGGAGGAGGAAGGTAGAGAAGACGAGACTGCAGATGATACCTGTTTCAGCCGAACTCCCAGCTGAGCACAGACTATCCAACTGATATGCCAGTTCTCTAGCAGTTTTCACCACTCCCTCATGTCCGAAGCGATGACTGCTGCCTCCTTGTCCAGGCAACCTCAGGTGACTGGCATTGCATTTGGGGATCGCATTGGTCAGCAAACAAGGAACAAGCAGAACAGTCGTCATTGCATTTGTCGTTAGTTCGAGACTTTGACTTGTCTAAGCGTTTTTTTATGTTTCTGTTTTTTCCCTCTCCTCTCCTTTCCTTTCCTTTTTCTTTTTTTTTTTTTTCCCTTTTCTTCTTTCTTCCATCTTTTATCCTTTCTTTCTTTCTTTCTTTCTTTTTGAAGGGCGGTGGCCTCGAGATATGGTCATCGAACTGACCGGCCCAAGGTAATTCAGAGTCAATGGTTTTTTTTCCCTATTTTACTCATCTGCTTCCAGTGAAGCTCAAGCTCAGGTTCTGTATTTCAACAGTTCAAGCGTGCACCAACTGAGCTATGGAGTGGGGTCCGTAGTTGTTTCCTCCGACTCCCTGCAGACGGACATACATATTAGACACTACCGTCTTTCCCCGAACACAATGCACCCTCATCGAGGTGTGCACGGCACCAGAAAAATCGCCTGTATACTATGTTCATGACTGGAGTGCATTAAAATAAAATAAAAAACAAGGGGATGCCTGCCGCGGATGCAGCGGAGACCATGAGGGAGGGGGGAAAAAAACAACACGAACATCAGGGACAGTTCGCTCCATGCTGGACCCTGGTCGTCTTCCCCCTTTCACTCCTGCCACTCTTGGTGTCCTCCTGCTGCTCGTCCTCCTCCAGTTCGTTGTCCTCCCCCTCCTCCTCATCCCCCTCTTCCAGCTCCTCCTCCTCCGGCTCTTCCCCCTCCTCTTTTCACTCCTCCTGCCACTCGTGGAGTCATCCTGCCAGGTTCGTCGTCCTCCCCCTCCTCCCGCTCCTCCTCTTCCTCCCACTCGTCGTCCTGCCCCTCCTCCCACTGGTCGTCTTCCCCGTTCTCCTCCCGCTCCTCCTGGTGCTCCTCAAGTTCACAGCCATCCTCCTGCTCGTCAACTTCTCCTCCTGCCGCTAACCGTCATCTCGTCCCCGCCCCGTTCCTCCCCCTAGTCCTCCTCCCGCTCCCCCGAGCTCCTCCTCCTCCCATCCGTCATCCTCCTCCTCCCGATCGTCATCCTCCCCTTATTCAACCATGGGACTTCTTTCCACCTGCGACAAAAAACGCGTGCTGCTGTGTACGCAGAAAAAAGAGCTGAGCGCGCCGCTCGTCATCCTCCTCCTCCCGCTCGTCATCCTCCCCTTCGACCACGGAAATTCTTTCCACCTGTGACAAAAACGTGCACTGCTGTGCACCAAGAAAAAAGAGCTGCGCGCAATGAAACGGCACAAAGGACCCAAGATAACAGAAGCCACAGCACAAACGACTAAAAACTAGTAAAAAGTGAAACGTGGAAGTAAAAAAAAAAAAAAAGGCCGGACGAAACAGCCAAACTGCTGCATTGGACTCACACCGGCTTTCCCAACAGTGGCAGCGGTGTCTCGAGTGGGTAGGTCACGCGAAACCCGCTATTTTCTTCAGGAGTATACATAGAGAAGAGAAAAAAACAAAAAGATTGGGGTGCATTGATTTTGGGGGAAGACAGCAGATTGCTGTCTCAGACAAGATCACACAACACCTGCCAATTGTGGTGCAGCAAGTCGATTCGGCCTAAAGGTCCACCTAAGAGCCTGCTGCTCCCCCATTAGCCCCAACCCTGAGCTGACTTGGGAATTTAGGGTTGGGGGGGAAAGAGAGAGGCTCGGAAAAGTTGTTTCAGGGGTAGTGAATTCAGTGACGGTTTATTGCTTGCGTTAAAGATGATCCCCAACATTGCGCTGCACAAACGAGCATTATTGGATTGGCATTTCAACCAGTTCAAAGACCGGATACATCAAGAACCTCCCACAGAGAGACCAGGCTGCTGTTAATGACAGGGGGAAGCCGTGACAGCAGGACAGTGGGACAGTGGGCCCAGTGGGCCAATCAACACAGTGGAGAGAAAACACGTGCTGGGAGTGGGATCAGGAAAAGACATTGGGAAACACAAGAAGTGGGGAGAGAAGTAGAATGATCTCTCTCCCAATGACTTCCCACCCAAGGAGAGGTAACTCCCACACTCTCTCCCATAGCCATCGCAGACTAGACTGTCGTAGACATGCCAATCAAAGACAAAGGAACTACACTTCTCATAGAAGCCTCGAAACTTTGCGAGGGATGAAATGACAAGCAAAAATCGACCGTGGATTCGACGCGGAAAGATAAGATCATCAAACATAGCTAAGTCAACCATGAAGAGTCCGAACACGAGAAGCTAGAATGAAATGACAAAGAAAAGTTTTTCAACGAGTGCAGCTGCACATGTGGAGATGGAATGAAATGACAAACAGAGAGCAGATACGATGTGATGAAATGGCATACAAAGGAAGCAGATGTCCTGTGGAGATGAAATGGGTTAACAGTGTTGCACACGCCGACCGTCGGCGACCCCTGACTGGTTGGCTGCCGACCCGCCGACCGGTCGGCTGGTCGGCACCTACCGGTCGGGGGTCATCGGCACCCTGCAATGTTTTTTTTTTTTCTTCGGTCCAGAACCCCTAATAACCCCACAAACAACCCCATACCCACCCCAAATACCCCCTGTCTCTTATACACATCTAGATGTGTATAAGAGACAGATACACCCCAGTCCCAACCCCCCCATCCCCAAAAGTTTCTCAGCGGATTTGGGCTGTACTCAGCAAGCGCAGTACAGCTTCCAACTCAGATCTGAAAAAAAAATAGTGGATGGTTGTTTTCTGACTGGTCGGCAGACCGCCGACCGGTCGGCCCTACTAGTCGGCTGCAATACGGTCGGCAGTCGGGGTCGGCGGTCGGCAGGGATGCAACCATGGATAACAAGCAAAAAGTAGATGCAAACCTAGAAATATTGTCACGGCCGGCCGGGCCTGCCCAGCGTGGAATTTTATTTTTCTTTTCGTTTTGGGCTTTCCACGCTCTCTGAGAGGACCCCCAATTCGGGCTCTTTTCTTTTTTTGAGTGTTGGCTGTCAATGGGAGAGAAGGGGCGGTATAAATTCGTTTTAAAATTTAAAGGGTCTAAGGGGTTTAAAGTTTAGACTTTAAAGGGGGGCGACTTAGTGTGACTCTGTTATTTTCTTTTTTATCTCCAACGCTGTGACGAATTCTGATGTGCCCCTCAGCCAAAAGTTATTTGCCTTGCAAGTCTACACAACATATTTTTTCCCCGGATTTTTTTGCTTGTTTTCATTTTTTCCCGCAGGGCCTGCCTGGAACCGTGCCCGGGGCTCATGCCCAGGCCCCGGAAAAAAACAGCCTAGGATGTAAATCCATGCAAGTCTTTTGGACTTTAGGGTTAGGGTTTCCTTTTTTGACAGGGTTCAAACTTCACAATAGTTAGACCAAGAAGGGCATAGGAGCCTTGTTTAAAAAAGAAAAAAAGAAAACAACAACAACAACAACAAGGGCATACCTCAGAGCCCCTCCCAGGTCAGTCTCTGTCAAGATGCACTCCCTTCCCAGCCCATCTGTGATGAGATCTTCCGGTGTCTCCGTTCCACGTACGCAAACTACCACCATTCTCACGTCTGCCAGTGCAATAACAAAGTACACTGACTCGTTGTTTGCCTGCCAGGACATCCACAAAAAAACAAGCACTCGTTGAGAGGCTGTCGCGTCGTGGTGTAATCATGACCGGCGACCGAGTTCAATGCATGTCCGCATGGCATGCTGTTGCGTCTATCTCACACAATCAACACAAAACTCAGCTACAAAAGCTGCTATCCAGGTTCATGGTATTTTGTCTCTCTTCCTCCCCCTTTTTCAACCATAAAAGCAGTCCAGGTTCGCGCTACGCTACTGTCTTCACCCGAATAGAACGCCCGGTCATTATCTCTGTATGTAGACTGAAAATTGCACCAAATACGGCTATAATGACCGGGCGTTCTATTCGGGTGAAGACGGTAGAATCTTGCTAAATCAGATTGACAGACAAACATGAACACCGAGGTGGTCCGCACATAACTGGGAGATTGAGCAGCATGCGGAACGATCAGGAGAGAAAGGGGACGAAGGACAAACTGCACAGGGACACTGTGCGTGGGCGCATAGCGACAGTATGTGGAAGGACATGCCGACAAGCAAAAGTTTGAAGACGAGGACCAAGAAGAAAAGGGGAGATAGAAAAGAAAAGAAATGAAACAATGGAAGGGCCATAATCAGCGCTCGCTCCTCTGCTGGAACTAGAATCTTCTCGATGCCTTCAATGGCGAAGCATTACATTGCAGACAATGCAGAGACATGTGGGGCCTTGACTTATCCTGTATATTATGTCAATCAGAGACTACAGCCCAGACATGTAGCAAAAGGCCGTCCTCGCTATGTGATAGCAAACACTATTGTTCACCTACGCTCTATAAGGCCGTTGCGCTCCTTACTGCCCAAGACTATTGCTTACCTGGCTATCACCAGCGGCAGTCGAGGCCACGTATGTCTCTGCCATTGTCTGCAATGTAATGCTTCGCCAGAGAAGGCATTGAGAAGATTCTAGTGCTGCGAGGGGATGGCTCTCCCATTGTTTCATTTCTTTTCTATCTCCCCCTTTTCTTCTCGGTCCTCGTCTTCAATTTTTCGCTTGTCGGTAACAAGCAACCGGACAGACACCCCCCCGGAATATAGATGGGGTAGTCTGTTTTATGAACGTGATGTTAAAAAAAAAAAAAAAAAAAAAAAAAAAAAAAACATTGACATGCTATGTCCACTATGTTGACAGACCAGTCAGTGATCTCACAATTCGTTGAATGCAACCAATTACTCCTGATCAACCGCATCGGAGTGCTCCCTGTATCAGTGGGGCTGATGTAACTGCCATGCCATGCTCCGAATCGTAGTGCTGCTGCTCATGTTATGGAATGCCCATGATGGCCATCCTGTCGATCAAAGCATCGGGGTAGAGAGGCGGCATGATGAAAGAATCGTAGTGCTATCTTCTGGTGACTGTACACAAACATCATGCAGTCCAGACATCACTCCATTTTTTTGCTGACTACAGAGGTGCTGCTTGGATAGGGACTTTGTTAATTCCTACAGCACATTGACTATGTTGTCACTGCAGCAAATTGACTGTGTGTGTGTTCCGAAAGGACACCACTCGATGAAAGATCAGTGCTACCTTCCGGTGACTGAACACAGACATCATGCAGTCCGGTCATCACTCCTTTTGCTGAAATACAGAGGTGCTGCTTGGATAGGGACTTGGCTCACGCCTACACCACATTGACGACATTGCCGCTGCAGCAAATTGAATTGACTCTGTGTGTTCTGAAAGGACGCTCGTGACATCCAAGCTGAATCCAAACCCATAACACACTTTTGACTCCAGCTTTGTAAGTCACGAGGCCTTGCCGCGGAAAGCAGTGTCATTCATTCTCTTCCTTTCCCCCTTCTATCCGCCTTGTCTTCAATCGCTGCAATGTTTTGAAACCTCACTGACACCCCCGAACGGAATGTGAGTAGCAATTTTGCTGCAATGTTTCAAAATACCTCTTCCATGAACTGAATTCGATTCTCTCAGGTGTGGTGTGGAACAAAAAAAGACAAAAGCCAAAAAAAAAGGGGGCGCTATCAAAGCCCTACGGCTCGCTCCCTCGCTCGTCGAACAGGGCACTTTTAAGTTTGGAAGGGATACACATTCACCTAGCCACCTCGCTCCATGTGGCTGAAACGTAGTGACACACATGTAACTGTTAATATATACAGATCATGAGTTTGAAATTTGAATCGTGCTGGATTCACATCAAATCAGTTGGACCTCGCCGGTATCATCTCTAGGCTTTTAACGTTGTAAGTCGTCGTTTAGTCGCCTGTCTCCCAATCAATAAATGGGTAATCAACTCCGATACCGTCAGTATCCCCGCCGATTTGGACCTTACCGCTCAGTTTCAATGGCAGGCAGGCAGGCAGGCAGAAAGTATAACAAACAGCGTATGTTCGCGCTCTTCCCCACGCATAACATAATACAAAATACAGGTTACCTGTAGAACGCTTTGATCTGAAAAAAGTGACTCCAATTCGCCAGAACAGGCTCAATTCCGTAAACGTCAGCGGGCTATTCAGGTGGATACAAAAATGTCAGGGGCTTACCCCTTTCAAAAGGGGGACATGGAAAACGCATTCAGCTAGCTACACGATCTCAGCCTTCTCCCCACCCGGAGAAGGCCACTGCCTTGAACGACAGCTTCATCGAAGAGTGATCAAGGGGAGGGAGAATCAGTGAAATACATAACAGAGTACCCAAAAGCGTAAAGAGTTTCCCGATCACCGTCTCAAAAAAATAGACTCGTCTTGCATCAACAATGTGGCCAATCCACTGCAACTCTCACCGCTCCAAACAGCTCATCCATCCGCATCAAGAGTCAACAACACAGGTGCACAGCATCTTAGAGAGTCTCCCAAGGATCTGCAGCCTGGGGGAGAGAACATGTAATGTCTGGGATATGCGACATGGGAGAGAAGATGGCCTGGCTCTCAGTTGATACCCCCAATGAACTGTTGAAATATGAATCAGACCCAAGTTCAAATCCAGATGCAATCAGATGAAAATAGTTAAAATGTAGGTACCATTTGGGATTTGTGGCCTGGGCGAGAGCGTGTAAGAAGCAACTGCCACTGCAAAGATAGCGAACAACGTACCTGTTGTTTCACACGACCCTTGAGTAGGCAGCTCGGCGGCAACTGAGAGAAGCGAAGAAACGCAGCTGAGTGGCCTCTCCAATAATTGTCTCCCTCGATAAGTGGCCACCTACAGATGTGACAGTTGAACATCGTCGACTAGGTAAGGAAGTCGTGTTTTCGATCCAAAAGGCACATTGACACTGGGACTTTCAAAATGTATCTGACTGCTATCATGGAAAGGTGCAGTCCAGGAAGTCGTAGTGTGCGCATATAAGGGCACTATATGCCCCCAACATGTCTGTTGTTTATTGCAGGGAAACACGAGTCACACTGAGCAGTAGAAAGAAGAAGACTAAACCACAGACTCACAGAGTACTGTACACATTAACGCCATACTCACGCTAGAACTTCGTTGCCTATTTCTGGACGTACTTGCAGTCGGATACATCCAGCCTTGGCCGTAAATGTGGTCAGATTCATTTGAGATAGGGCTCTGTGTGGATAAGCCCTAAATGTGGACGGCAGCAACACCAAACACCCTTTCCCATGAATTTACAATTCAGCCATCTGCCAAGCTGTTGTTTATTTAACGTAAAAAAAAAAAAAAAAAAAAAAAAAAAAA